GTAGCGACAACAACGGATAGGTTGTGGCACTCGAGGGGTGTGCACCAGCTGTGTTGAGATTTTGAATCGATTGTTCTGTGGCCATGTACGTTACAAAAAAATAAAAAAATAAATAAAAAGAGCTTTTCAAAAGTCACCTTTTTCCCGATGAGCTTCTTCCTGAGGAACTCGCGGGCTTCGAACATGTAGGGGATGTCGTAGAGCGGACGGAATCGCTTGTCTTTGTCCTTGTTCTTCTCCTGAATGGAGGGGGAGGGGGGGGGCGTCATGAATGAAGAGAATATGGAGAATAGTAAGTTCAGCTGCGCAAACGCTCGCTGCTGCTGCTGCTGCACACAAAAACAACTCGCAACAAAACAGTCGCCCACACTCTGACACAAGCGCCACAAATAGAAGCCATTTGCATTTTGAAAAGGAGGCTGCGGAAGAAGACAAACGCATGCGCTGGCTGGCTGGCAGGTGTTATCGTTATCGGAGAGGCAGGATTAAAAAAATAATAATAACAATCATCATCATCATCAAATGACAATGATGCACTTGAAGAATAACGCCAGGCGCTCGGGAGGACGTTAAAACGGCCGATGGATAACTTCCTGTCTGCCCCACCCCAAGAGAGACATCGGCATCGTCCAAATGAACGCGCGAGCCTTTGGATAATTATTCCTTCCGTTTCATTCATCTGGGAACGGCATGTGCAACGATATGAAGATTTGAATAACTTGGCTTAATATGTCAATATAAGAGCGAATTATGAGCTTCGCCAAGGAGACGCGGCTCTCGTCATTATTTGTTTTTAATTTCCTTTTCGACCGTTTGGGTTTTCATTTTGCTTTAATGTTGTGTTTGTTTCGTACTTTTATTGCGGTTTAATAAAATCCCGCACATTAGAGATGAAATATTTATTTCAGAAATCGGGTCGAGGGCGTTTTAAAACTAATCCGACGCAGGTCTGACGGTGAAAAATATTCAATACTGCCGTTCCATAAAATGTTTTATTTTCACTTTAATGGACCTGGTTTTTACTTTTCTTTCATTATATATTGATAAAAATCCACGCAGGCACACAATGACGACAACTACGATAAAGCGAGATTTTTGCGTTTATGCCTTCCTTGCTGGTGATGTTCTCTTCCATAATAACAGAGGGAAAATCTGAGTCACGTTTTTTTATTCGTTATTAACTCCATTAATGACCATTTCCTTGAACACGGTAATTCCTCCATCATCTGTAATCGTTTGCAATTTGCGATGTGGATAATTCACTCAGTTTTTCTTGAAAAGGTGTCGTTTTGACCCGGTACATCCAGTCACTGGTGGGTTGACAAAAGGAGCTCTCCACTAAACTGGCTCGGAACAAATCTGACTTGAAATAGAAATTCCTCTTTTTAGGGCAGTGCATTTTAATTACAGCCTTCCACAGATGATGATGATGATGATGATGATGATGTGCATCCTTAGGGGGGCTGGACAGCGAGAACGGCAAACAAGCGGCTAACTTCAAGAGGGAAGTCAAAAAGATGGAGGGAAGGGTGAGGGGGGGAATTGAAGAATCATTTCTGGACTAATAAGATGTTTCGCGGCAGAAAGGCAGCAGTGTCACCGAGGGCTGTAAATGTCAGCACTTTAAGCCAATTAGGTGCAGGGAGGCAGAGATGCGAGGGGTGGGGGCGGGGGCGACAAAAGGTGACACTTCTCCATCTTTTAGAAGGTTAATGGCGAGCGGCGCAAGAGGGTTGGAGGTGGCGGCAGCAGAAGACATGATTTGAGACGTGGTAGAATGAGGAGATTGCACGGATAAAGATGTCGCCATTTACGCAGCCTACTTATTATGAGTTGAATGAATAATTATCGTCAACTTAAATTGCAAAAAAATATTTTTTTTTTTCAAAATAACACCCAAAATAAAAAGTAACATTTAAGTGACATCACCAACAATCACCAGTGTTGCCACAATGAGCCAAATGCTGCTTCACCTATGACATTTGCCCCATCCCCTCTCAATTTTTTTTTTTTTTAAAGTAACAATGCTTTCTGCCTTCGACAATGAGCCCACACAGGAGATAAAAGTGACAAGGGTGGCGTGGTGAAATTACCGTGACGGAGACCAAGTCTGAGCGCATCACCCGTAAACTGCGCTAAAGCCGCCCGGGGAAAGGAGAGGGGAGGCTGGCAGGGGAGCGCGGCGGCGGTGGCAGGGGCGGCGTCACGGCGCGTGTGTCTCAAAGCATGACCCAGTAACAGCAGTTTGCGCTGGCTGTCCCGCAGGGGGAAGCTCTCGTTCTATTTGGGGTGAATTCCCTTCGTCCCAAATTAGCCGCCACTGCTCGGGAACGGTCTTGGACCCCCGCGGAGAGGCGCCACGCGGGCTGGATGCTGCAGCTGCGATGTGTGCAAGCTTTCCGAACGTCAAAGGCGGAGGTGTGACTCGGGGGAAGGAGTGACGTTGGGAGGAGAACATTTGAGCCATTTTGGGCCTTTCCGTTTGGATGCACTGAATGAAGGCGGAAGCTACACAAAAAGAAAAGCATATAGAATAGAAATCCCGAGAGAAAAACATTGGAATTGCCTTTTTTTTTTATCCTGCACTGATGTTAACATAATGTTCAATGCCAACTAATTGGATTTAGTTTTAGATTTATCAACGAAAATGACCAATTTTTACCAGCAAAAATCCCGGACTGACATGAATGGACTAACAATGCCTCTTACTCTAAGCCAGCGGTGGCCATCTTGCATTGCCACTCACCAAGGACTCCTAACTTCCAACACATTGGCATCTCCGCAGCGTTTTGATGTTATTTGTCGTCTCGAGTGCGAGAATGCCTATGTGTGGCGTGCGCAAGAACCAACATGACATTAACAACGTAATGAAAGAATGAGAGTAGAAACTGCTGCAAAATGTACAAAGTCCGATACTGCAGCGTGCCATTTCGAAACGCAAGTGAAGTATCCATCCCATTAGCGTGCGTGGCATTGTCAGCTAACACTAACGGGCAGTGACAACAACAACAACAAAAATAAATAATGTGCACCAGTGACTCAGGACTTGGGGAGCTCTGGACTGGGTGCTCTGTACAATGATGCAGTACATCCTTAACCCTGCTTTCAAAAGCTCACGGGTACAAAAAGCGGCATGCAAGCGAATGGGCAACAGCTAACAATGAGTCACTTGTGTGGCACTGATGTCCCTCTTCACTTTTTTTTTCCTACTCTGCCGCTATGAGTAAACCAAGCCAAAAAAATAAAGAGGGGGGGAAAAAGACGAAAGTGGGAATGAGGGCAGGAAGGAAACCTTGCAACTGCCGAGGTGGAAACGAGTGTGCCATTGCGGTAATAGTGAGAGGAAACATGACAGGCGCAGCCATGTATTAGTCTCATAACAATTACTGTAATCATCGCAGGATGGAGAGGTGGCGGAGTGGGAGGGGGGTGTGAGCATTTGGGGGAGATGGGGGGTTAAAAAGGAAGCAAAAGGCGAGGTCGGAGGGGCTGTCACACTTCATCAGTGCACCACTAGCATAGCGTTTGGCCTGACTAACCCTGCGAACGTGCGCACACAACACACGAGCACGCTGGCACAATACTCAGAAGTTCACCAAATAAAAATGATCGAAAGCAGACCTCCGCCAAGGCAAAATGCTCATAAATCAAAACGTCGGATGAGTTTGCGGGCTGTGAGCTGAGATGTGTGTTTCTCATCCGCAAGGTGGCGGTCATAACTGGAACGATGAAGCATGCCATGAACAAGAATGTATTTCTTGCAATCTATGGAAGAGCCTTTAATTGTTCTGCCTGTCACTCCACGTCGCTTTTTATTGTGCCATGGTGGCACTCATCGTGAGTAACTGGAGAAAGGCGCGTCTCAATTTTCCGCCAACGCGATGTCAGAACGTGTCGAGCTGAGAAACGCACCTGCTGTGACCTCTCGCTCGCCTCCGACCCGCGGGCGAGCGTCCATCAAGGTTAACGGGCCATAAACGTGTTGACGTTTACAAGTACGCCGCGCTTTCAGCTCGCGTCAAAGCTCGGAACGTTTGCGAGTGACAATCTGAAACGGAATCAACGATATACATGTAAAGTGTTTCGATGAAATATCAGGAAAAAAGGCACGTCGCTGTCGGATTGCTTTGAGCCATCGAGTCCCTGCGCTGCTGCCATGGCGACCGCAAGCCCAACCAAGTGGACGGCAGGCGGGCGGTCCTCGCTAACAAAGCTCAGCCTGCAGGATGCCAATGAACATCTATTTAAAAAGAAAAAAAAAGTGTCGCCAACCATGAAAATGAGCGCCCTTGAGGAACATATATATATTCAGAAATTTGCTCCGGAACCTTTTTGAACAAGGAAGAGCAAATGTCACTAGCACTTTCGTGGGTCCGCAGTTTTAACTCACGAGAAGATACTCGAGTTCCTCCAAGACTGTGGAATTTCAGGGTGGACTATTGGAGGGTCCGCTGGAACTCAAGCAAGGGTATCATTGACATAGAGTGTGAAACTCTCACGGAAAAAAAAAAAAAGGGGGGGGTACTTGTTAGATTCTCTATTATGAGAAGCAACCCGGTGATTCACTGAAAGGGCTTTCATTTGCAGACAGGAACTCCACAAATAAGTAAGCCCACACTACGATTGTTATTGGCAAGAGACATTTCAATATTTTTTTTTTTGCTGGCCTTTTTATTGACACATTGAATGTTTTTTCTTTCCTTTTTTTTTTTTTAGCCAGAGCAGCCTGGATACGATGGAGAAGGTTGCCATGCGAGGTAACCAAGCAGCGTGCGTATAATGTGTATGTGTGTGTGTGTGTGTGTGTGTGTGTGTGTGTGTGTGTCTGTAGTTTTAATCTTAAGCTTCGCCTCGCTCTCTGCAATGCTGCAAACACTGGGCGTGTGCCAGCAGCGCCTTGGGGGGGTGCCACCGAGTGGTCACGAAGCGTTTCCACGGTCATTTGGACAACTTGTCCGTATGCAGAGAACACTCAGCATTCACCCTCTTGCGATTTGTTGTTTTGTTTCTTTCTATGGCATGGCAAAAATGTGAACCGGCACATTTTTGGACATTTAAAAAAGGAAATCAAGAAAACTGTTTCCCCGTACCTCGCCTTCGATCCTTGGGGGCCGGATGCTGGACAGGTGGATGGTCTTGTAGTCTCCCGAGTTCAACTTGACCACCATGGCGTCGGCGTTGACAACCTGCATCACCTAAAAAAAAAAAAAAAAAAGTACAGAATCAGGAAGAGTGTTAAATAAAGCACAGAGAGTGATTTAGGAAGCGACGGGGACATGGTCGGTGAGGTTTGAAGGACGCAGCGAGGATGCCGCGTGAGCCGGGGAGAAGAGGGGAGATTTAAAACGCAAACAAGCTGTCAAGAGATTGGCCGGGAGAGCGTTACGTTGCTGTCGGGACCCCAAGCGGACGGCCATATTTCACAGGAAGATCTGCAAGTTTAGCTCAGGACACCGATTGCTGATCTGATTGCGTCGCCAACTAAAATAATTCTTTGGCTCGCCACGTTTGCGTTGGGGAGGAAGGCAGGAGACGCACAGCCTGAATGGAATTAGGGCAGGCAAATTGGTAAGTGTTTGGGTTTGAACATGCTAATTGGACACTTTTGGGCCTTTGGGCAACATGCAAATGATGTTTTTATTCTGAAAAACTGCACGTGTGTCCATGGAGCACCTGCGTGCATTCATATTCGGATTCCACAGGGACAATATTAGAAAATGGACAATAAATCGAATACTTTAGAAACAACCACAGTGTAGCTCAGCCTCTGGCTTACAGATGTCGCAGCTGAGCAACATTGCTTGTTGACTGGTTTGAAAAGGAACGGGGGAAAAAAAAACTAGCCCAGTACTTGGCTTCAAAGGCCAACTCCTCAACATGGCGTCCTGCTCAACTCGCGACTTAATTAAAATACAAATTGGCTCCATTGTTACACTTTGCGGGCGGGCGGGTCGACTACGCTGGTCAAAAATGCCATCTTACTACTCGTGCGCTGCATTAGCATAACGCGCCGGCGCAGGGACCAAATAACTTGAGTCACACAAGTCTGCTGGGGAAAATTATGCAAATCTCCCGGGAAGAAAAGTAATCATTTAGAGTCATAAATATCAATGAAGCACGGTGTAAAAGAAAAAAAATATAATTTTTACAATACATTCGGAATTTAGATTGGGTTTGCCCACAACGAACGAGGAGGGGGCGCCCAAAATGGAGGAACCAACGATGTGACGCAAGCAGGTGGGTCACTATCAATGAGATAGCGAGCGCAGTTGGATGTTGTCAATCTTAAAAGGTCCACTGTCATAGTTAGGCATCGATAGAGATGAGAAACCTGTGAATCAGATTGCTCAGGTTCGCCGCGTGCTCATGAAATGTTACATTCTGTCAACGGTAGCCTCATTTTTCCTTCGAATCATCAAGCGCAACAGCCAGCGGCGAGCAGGAATTAGACCGGGCCCACTAGCCCATAATACATCACGTGCTTATCAGCGAGCCTACACAAGGTCACTGGGCGGCCTGGCGCACGTAAATAAGGCATTTAGCAGCTAATTAGAGAAGGGGAGGAGGGGGTGGGGAGAGATCAACGCCCCAAATGGCGGGAGGAAAGATGGAGGATGGCACCGCGTCATCTGAGATGACAAAGATGGGGGGTGAGACTTGGTGTGACTCATGGCCTCAGTCGGTGGGGCTTCCAGAGGTGGCACTCTACTGCCACCTACTGCATGCCGCTGCGCAAGACATCTGCATTGGCCAAACTCTGTCAGAGCATAGCGGAGGTGATTTTACCAATCGGAATTTGCGCATCTCTGCCAGCGTTTCCATCAAAACGGCCCTGAAAGGTGACTCGTCACCTCCAAAAACTATTAAGGGAGGAAAAAGCCTTTTACGCAACATCATTGACACTCTCACCTTGGAATTTTTTTTTTTTTTCTGGGGGGCAGGTAGGAATGTTGGGACATGACCTATATTCAGTCCCAAATGGGGGGGCGGAACTGACTTGTGGGGATTACACCTTCTCTGGCCCGCCACTCTATCTAGCCATCAGTCAGGTAATAGGAAGAGAAAGGCAGAGGGGAACGAAACAGACGGCTGGATGGTTAAATGGGCGTGCACCGAGGAGGCAGATGGCACATATTAGGCAGTTTTTTTCCCCATAAGTTACGTTTTTCAAAAAAAAGGAAATTAATAACGATAACTTTTTACACCCAAAAATATTAGCAACAAAGGTCATAAACATATATTTTAAAGCTCATTATGATAGTGAAAAAAAAAATGACTAAAAGGATTTGATCTCACTCGGAATATAATGCTATCCATTTAACAGACGCGGCTCTAGGCATCCTGTTCAACATCCCGCGCAACAAACCAGATGAGCGCATTGGTGTTCCAAACCATGCCGAGTTGAACACGGCGACCTTGGCTTGTTCCTTTTCCCTGTGCCAAATATGGCCTGGCATACCCTGGGCCCCTCTGTTTGGGAGATCTGAGAGACAATCTAAATGTTTCATTCCAGCTCTCTTTGTGTGCATTCATTAAGCGAGCTCCCTTGATCGCCAGCTTTTATATGAGCCTCGGGCAAGCCGGGAATTTAATCAGGATAGTAAAAAAAAGAAAAAAAAAACGTCTTGGGGGAGACTTTGGGGATGTTTAATATTTTTCTACTCTCTTGCATAAGGGAAAAAAAATGAATCCAGCGAAGGCAGCAATGCGGGCTGAGATGATGTGGAAATGTCTATGATGAGCTTACATTGACTGCGTTGTCCATCGGACTCCATTTTAGGTCATATGTACTGAAAAGTAGGCGGGAGTGTACTTTGCGTAGAGGGCACTTTCCTCTCCCCCTCTAAGGCCCTGGACAATAACATCCAAAGCTAATATGCACCTGACTTTTAGCAGCATGAGCCAGCGATTTTGCGTCTAATTGGACAGGGGGGGGTCGCTCGCTTTCAAGGTGGTCGGCAGCCGTCAAGCTTTGTGTATGGCAAGAGTAGACAAACTTGTGTCAGGCGAGCTCAGTGGGGTCAGCTTTTATTCAGTTTTACCTTGGTGTCGGTTCTAAAAGGTAATCAAGGCTCACATTTGAAACAGGGTCGACATGAATCGAAATTTAGCGAATAAAGCAAATGCTGGAAATAGTTTTGAGATTAAATCAATTAGCGCTTCCCCTTCTTGACTTTGCGGGAGACTCCCGGCAACCCGTTTAAAGTACAGCTTATCGACAAAACACGTGAAAATAGTTTGCCGAGATCCATTTTTTTGTAAGCTTCACTTGTTCAAAATCGATAGCTGTAATGCTGAGTTGCAGAAGGAAGCCGAGTCCACAACCGGGGGGGGTTTGCGTGCAGATTAATTTCCTCCCGTTAAACTGTCTAGTCAGCTCATCAATTCCCCCCCCCCCTTTTTTTCAGCATGAGCGCAGACAGCGTAATAAATTAGCAATTGAAAATGATTATAGGGAGGTCTTGGTGCGCAGCCGTATAATGTAGCCGTGTAAGACACGCTAACTGTGTTTACTAAAGGCCTCACCTTGGCCACAAATTGTCTGTCCTTCTGGTCCAAATTGGCTGTGGGGGCCACGTAGTCCTTCCAGATGCGCACTTTACGTTCTTTAGCAGATCTGAACACAAAAAAACAAAAAAAAACAAAAATGTAAGAGGACGGACATGACGAAATAAAAGGCTATAAAAGGAGCCGCAGTCATTTCTGTAGTGAACCTGGACGCCTTGCTTGTTAGGTCACGAACACGAGTGCCAAAATAGACCTTGAGAATCTTTCGCGGCGTGCCTTAAAAAGTGTGTTCAGAGTACCGTTCAGCAGCTCGGAGTTTCTCGGCACCCTGCGTGTAGACGGCCATGGACCAGTCCACGCAGCGGGCAAAGCCTTCCTTGAGCAACAGTTCGGTGATGTTGCCATTCTGGGAATGAGGGAAGAGAAGAAAAAAAAAAGGGTGGGGGGGGAGCAGTGGAATCACTGTGAGTGGATGGGTATGTTGGCACCACCACCAGGCCGTGGCAAGCCGTTCCGCTCGCTTACCGGGTGCAAGATGGTTCCGAGGATGACCTGGTTGGGGCAACTCTCCAGGATGATTTGCACGTCGCGCTGCAGCAGACGCGACTCGGTGAAGAACTTGGCCTCGGCGGCGAAAGGCTCAGGCGATTCGGTGCCGTCTGCTTCTCGCTTGAACGTGGGGCACTGCGTGAGGCAAAAGAAATAAAAAATAACAACAATCTTTTGTGCATCTGACTTCTGCCGCTCACGTCCTTTGGATGTCACCTTGTCGCGATAGCGGCCAGGCTGGCAAGTCACATCGTATCTTCAAGTGGCAGATGAGTCAGATTATCTCAAGCGGTCGCAGTTTAGCAAAAATTGAGATTGATGGCCAAATGTTGCCAAGCGGATATGGACACCATGGCGGAACAAATAGAGACAAACGAGCGCCAGAAGTGTGCAGTTGGGTCTTTTATTGCCTCTTTTTTTTTTTTTTTTTTGGTTTTTATATATACTGTCGATGTCTTCGCATAACAAGGGGCGGGAGGGTCAGTGAAGTGCTTTGGTACAATGTTACCTTGACGCCAGACAGCATGACAGTGACCAAGTAGTAGTCCGGCAGCAGCAGGGCACGCACGACACTGCCGTCACGCACGTGCTCGATGATGGCTGGCGGGGGTGGGGGGGACACAGTGGCAGGGTTACAAGTTATCTTGACAGATCATGTATTTTTTTTTTTATGACAGCACTTGATGGGGTGAAAAAAAAAATTTGCACTAGACGTGACACTTTAAACATTAAAGAAAGCGCAACGAGTCACGTGTGTGAGGCTCGCTAATATCATTACGCATAAATTAAAATGAACGCAACAATAAAACGATTTTATAAAACAGCGCCGCTAATAAGCGTGCTAAAATGTGCTCACTCTCATGTTTAATGAGGCCTCGTGTTTGCATGCATTAAAACGCGAGCAGGATGAGAGTCACCTGTGTGAAAGTCAATTTGCTCTTAAATGGCACTTTAACGTCTGGAGCAGCATCTTTGCAAAGAAGGAAAAAAAAAAAAAAGAAGAAAAGCATTGAAGAGGCTCTTTTCTTGCTCATTAGACGGCCGCTTGCAGGCTCGTGAAATGAGCTGAGCGGCCGTTAACAGCACCGAGTGCCACATTTAACCTCTGAAGGTTGATCTGGCGGGCGCCATTACGACGACAACCCACCCCCCTTCCCTGCAGCCAATCGTCCGAGTCGTCGCACAACCTGAGAAAATGTCGGGGAGGCTGCCGGTGCATACCGTTGATGGGCTTCTGATGCAGGGAGTCCACAAAGTTGCGCGGGTTCTCGATGGTGTACTTGAGATCGCGGATGGTGTGCGCGCTGCTGCCTTCGCTCCACATGCCCTTCCTGGACGCTTTGGCGTGGTCCTCCAGCTCACATAGTCGGACCTGGTCCAGACTGGAAGAAGAATTTGTTTTCATTCGGTGTGCACTCACTTGCAAGACACTTTGGACACAAAACAACTCATGTCATTTGAGGAATAAAAACGCACACAAAAAAAACAACAACAAAAAAAAATCGGAATTACTAAAAAGGCATAAATAGAAAATTCACAAATTCAACATTTGATGAGATATATATGTATTATTATTCTTGTAGTTTCCTTGGAATTGTACCATTGAAAAAGGTTGGCTTGAACGTAACTAAACTGCATCGTATTTGGAGCCATTCCTGTCGCTAATCACCGTGGCCAAATTGGACCATTTACATGCACGGGTACACCAACGATCCAAAATGACCACTTTGTCCGAAAATGGCAGTCAGCTTGTGAACACATGTTGGCCTCCACTGTCCAATGACATCACCGTTCTCGTAATCATCCTGCCATAACCATCAGTGGACAAAGTCACACTGGACAATCGTAAATGGAGCCACTCAGGGGGAAACTAAGTAAGTGTTTCGGTGTGTTTAGTCCGAGGTCACGTGACTGAAGGGGTCTATGGTGGGCAGAAATCTGCTTGGAAAAGCGCAGCGCTGCTGCCACCATGTGGACATTGCCGGCACTGTCCTCCGGTCTCAACCGTTTTTTTTTTTTTTTTTTTTGGGGGGGGGGGGGGGGGTCGCATTTGTCATACAATGACTGCTTGGCTCTTTTTTTTTTTTGGAGGGGGGGGGGATGTCACAATCGTGCCCAACACACTATAATTGCCTGCCAGCGAGCGCCGGGGCCAGAACGTACAAATTACAAACCAGAGAAGCCGGTGCCGCCCGTGGTTATGCAACGCCCTGAAACGATCCGAGCACTTTAAGAAGCTTTAATAACAAACGCCGGTTTCAAACTAGGGGAAACGTCTTACTTGTTGCCCCTGACTCCTTCCCGCCGCACCGTGGCCAGGCCCTCGTTCACCAGCGACTCGGCTATGTTCTCACCCGTAATGTCTGCACAAGAAAGGAAAGCGATGGTAAAATGGAGAAAACAAAAAAGAGGATGTTTCATCAAGCGCAATGTGTTCAAGGTTAGGCCAAGATCAGCAAGTGTGAATCACGCTCATTTCTAGCCATGTATCGCAACATTACAAATCTACCAGACCAATGGGCGTCCGTTTTATATCCACCACTATTTCGAGAAAACCGGCACAACTTGGTTTTGCCGGTGGAAGCCCAGCTAGCGTGCTTACCTTTTCCCAGGTAGACCATGCCATACTCGCGGCCCAATGGGGTCTTGATCTCGACGGTGAAGCACACCTCTTTGCCGATCAGCTTCTTGCGCAGGAACTCTCTGGCTTGAAAGGCCCACGCCTGCAACACCGAGCAAGAAGAGAGAACATGAGACGACGCAGAAGCTAATGCTAAGCGCTAGTATGAAAGGCAACATTTTTTTCTGTTTCATTACACACGGCTTAACTTTTAGATGTATTATTAGAGTAATTTTATTTGACAGTTGTGTTTCACTTTCCTATAGTTGCACCACACAGTGAGTTTGCTTTGTTAGCCTTTTTTTTATCCACAGATTAACTTCGTTTTAAAAGAAAGCTTTTAAAAAGGCGGGCGGCAGTTCCACTCTGATCCGTTTGGAACAACTGCTTTGAAGTGAGAACAAGTCGGAAGTCAACCGGTGTGGTTGACAGAAATTATGCAGCTCAAATTCCTCTCGCCGCGCCCCAAATCAGAGCGGCACCTCAACACTCATGGAAACAAACGCGCGCCCAGAAATCAACACACCTCGTCGGGGGTGTCCTTGGTGTCGGGCTGGCTCTGGGCGGCTCGTCGGGCCAGGGCGCCCGCTCGGATGTTGCTCAGGTTGATCTGGCGCTCCGGAGGTGGGCCGCCGCGAGGCTGACCTCGCACGATGATGGCGCACCCCGACAGTACCTGGAGAAAAATACCAAAGCAATAATAACCATGAAAATGGGAAGAGAAGATGGATACAGAGGAGTAAATTTCTGCCCATTGCCGTGGCGACAACCAGCCCGAGCTTTTGACAGCCACGGAAGGCGCTGGCGCCGATCTGTGCAAAATAACTTATCTGGGGGTGGGGTGGGGGGCTGTTGATCTAAGATGGTGGGAGATAACTGCTACATGAATCACTACATGTCTTGAGAGGGAAGAAATTTCATACACATACAGCACATTTGACAATAAAGTTGTATCCAATCCAATCCAATACATTAAAAAATAATCACACCAAATAAAATGCTGTCTTGTGCTGGGTTTAAGAATTTTCACAGCCTCAAATGCAAAAACTCAGAAGTATACTTCGATTTATAATCTCCATCATTTAGGTGGGCAATCTCAGCTATTTTAAATTAGTCGTTTCCGAGTCTTTGCTGTATGACAATATCAAATGTGTGTGATCGCGTCACGCGAGTACAAGAGCTCTACCAAAAAAGAAAAGAAGAAATTTTGCAAACAATCACGAGAGCGGCATGGATGAAGAGGTAAACACGACTGCTCCAAAGAACATGAACTGTCAACAAAATTCAGTCTTTGTTAAATCTCAGTCTGTTTATTTAGTAGGCTGTTTCTAAATATGCAATTTGTCTTGAAAGTTGAGCAGGCGTGACATGATAACTTTCCTAGGGGCTTTTCCAAATCTTTTTAACAGCAAAAATAAAAGAGAGTAAGTGCATGGTGTAGATGGGGAACTTGAAAACAGTAGCTACGTGTCAGTCTCTCTAGTGGATGGGGCCAGCTATGGGGGGTCGGAACACACGAACCATGCAGTACTCCCCGATAAAAAAAAGCACTTTAACCAATAGCCGACCACTAAAAATATAGAACATGTAACCGGTTAGATTTTTCACAACTAACAAGCAAACGTGGACAACTCTGCCAGACTACTCCAAAGTTCAAAGTTCACCCCGAGTCGTTCCAATCCACACGCTGCAGGCAGAAGCCCCCTTACTCGCCCCCCAGGTAGCCGCCAGTTAGCTGGGAAAGCTCACATCTGTCGCGGTTGGGGAGACGAGCACGCGACGAGAGTAATTCGCTTTCCGCTTTGAAAACCCCACGCAGGGGCGTCCGAAGTTGCCTGTCACTCGCCACGTAGCGCGTTCGCAAGTTGAGAATCACTTCACGCCTGCTCCAAACGTCATTTGGCAGGAGCTCGTTAGCAGTGAGCTAACGTTAGCTGCCGGCTCCAGCGCATTTCTGATAACACACACTGACAGGACCTACGTTGAATACACTTTGAATTCGCTGACGGCGCGGTTGGATCCTAAATGTAATTCCACAGTATCCGAGTCGCGGAAGCTAGCTGGCTAACTAGCGCCCACACATGAGGGGGGCTCTTACCATCTTAACTATCCCTCGCTGGAGCCCAGCGGAGGGAGCGGAGACCGCCTGAGCAGGAGCCGAAACAGATGCCATGTCCAGCGGTTTAGAAGTTTGTGTGTCGCCGTAAGACAGAGAGGGGTAGACGGGAAAAGGAAGCTGGGACACCGGAGGAGTGACTGCTCTCCAGAAAGCCAAGAGAGAAAAAGGCTTGCGCGTTGGTCAACACACACGTCGTACCGGAAGAAGACCGTGTCATTTACGCATACACGTCACTTAGCTAACCAAGCTACTTCCGGTCCGGAATGCATAGGAGTGAACGGGGAAGAATCCGGGCGTCGCAAGGAAAACGCAGAAGCACTTCCGGGTCAGTGCGTGAGACACGTCAGCATTGATGGAAGCGATGTTCAATTTCGTAATACTTATTGTATTTTACAAACATTATTTTTAAATGTCTGTTTTAAATACATAATTATGATTCCCGATGTTTTATTTTACCTTTAAGAATTGTATTTTTTTTAATATGTGTGACGTCAGGAGTGTGGTTTCTTGACTGAGAGCTTAAAAACAGATTTGCGTCGTTCATGTAGTCAAAAAATAAATATATGGTATTAAATATAGTTTGTAATATTTATAAACTGGCGCTACTCCAACAATTTATTTTTTGTCATTTACATGACACATTCAATTACAACTCTTTTCTTCTATACATATTGGAGCGCTGGGTCGCTGGTGACACCTTGTGGTAACTCCTACTAACTACATTTGTAAAACAACGCTGTTTTGTTAATTTTGTATGTTCAAACCTTTGCCCTTACATATTTTTCATACTTGTACAGCCCCTTCACCCCCAGCAAATTTTATGTAAGAACTCAGAACATACATAACAGCCATGGGGTGACAAAGTAAAAAATAAACTTACATTACAAAAATATATAAAATGCACACAAAGGTTTGTGTGCGTCTAAATTTGTCTATTGTTCAATAGTTCTAATACATTGCTTGACATCATTTTCAAACACACACACGCACAACAACAAAAAAGGTTTCTCATTAATGTAGGGTGGCACGGTGAGCATGTCCGCCTCAGTGCAGGGTTCGATTCTGGCTCCTGCCTTCTTCCTGTGTGGACTTTGCCTATTCTCCCCGTGCCTGCGTGTGTTTTCTCCGGTTTCCTCCCACATTCCAAGAACGTGTATGGCAGGTTAACGGAACACTCGAAATTGTCCTTCGGTGTCATCGTGAACGCGAATGGTTATTCGTCTATGCGTGCCCTACGATTGGCTGACAAACAGTTCAGGGTGTCCCCCGCCGATTGCCCGAAGACAGCTGGGACATGCCCACGACCCTTGTGAAGATAAGCGGACAGTCGCCAGAGAGTTAAAATCACATTACTAATTCAAATATAAATCTTGCAAAAGCATGAGAACACTGTGAGTTCTTATATGAATTTTTGATGTGTCTTTTGTGCAAGTCAGACACCTGTAAAAACAAATCATACTATGGTAATTGCTTTGTTTGGACAATTTTCACGTTTGTTTCGGTTATGACACATCAATGGCAAAAAGTCTTGGAACAACTTGGCGAATGAGTGCAACACAAATGGCATTTTTGAACATTTACGGCGACGGAAAATGACGTTTTAGGCGACTGCAGAGTAAAATACTGAAACAAAACAAGCATAACATTTCTTGAAATTCGGCAATTCATATTTTGCGCTCAATATAAAAGCTCATCATAAATTGATATGAACACAATGCGTGTTTCTATGGCAGATGTGTGTTCCTTTTTCACGTAAAACGGACGCTGTGACAAGGAACGTGCTATCTTTTTACGCACAGTCCTCCTTGGGTGGCGCGCATCGGCGAGCTTTTCCTCGCCTTTTACGCGGGCGATTTGGACTCCTTTCCCGTCGCTTCCGTGGCACAATCGACGTGGATTTACGTGTTGAACCCCCCATACAACCACCCTGCACGCGTCATTCGAACCTCTTCCATCTTGGGGGGCACGGGGGGCATAGTGGAGCCCCTCAAAGTCGATCAATCCCGAGCCTGGTTGAAATTTACGCACAGGCGAGGCGCAGCTTTCCAAATCAAACAGCGACGCGTTCGTGGGATTCTGCGGGCGCACACGCTACGCAATAAAAGTTAATAAATCAACGACAGCCTGCAATCAAAGAAATGGCTGACCCGATTGGAGGTGCGCTGGTTGGCAAGGAGATCCAAACTGGCTCGAATTCATTCCACGCACACACACGGAGGGAGTCTGTGTCTGTGTGTGTGTGTGTCCACTCACAGGTGGTTAATGTATAATTTGCGCCATATGGCTCTTTTAAAAAATCATCGAGCACTTCCATCTGTGTGGACCCAACTAATGATATTCAATTAGTCACCAAACAAGACAAGGCCTCCCAAAGTCTCGTCACCACCGCGCCACGCGTTTTTTTTTTTTTGTTCTCCCCCCGCTGCACGGACCGCGACGCGCATGCATGGACTAATATTTGCTCGTCAAATATTTCCCTTAGGGACGTTTACAGCACATTTTATCTAGCGGGCAGCGTAAGGAACATCTGTGAGGGTGATTTTGGGCCCCCCGCAAGCGAGGTGCCCTCGCGCGTTGGCCCTCCTCCGTCCCGATTTGTTGACGTTCGCAGGGGAAATGTAATAAAGGCACTCCGGGGTGGATTTACGAGTGGATCAAAAGCACTTTACCATATGGCACTCGTCCTTGGGGGCACATTTCCAAATGTTTGCTTTATGGATATCCTGCTCCTGGCTGCTGCTTCATCATCTTCACACACTTGAACGCAGCACGTGGGAAAAGGATGCGAAGGTCATGTGACCAACCACCCCTGAGAGGACATGAACATATCAGAACGTTGAAACCGCGGAAAGAGTCGTTTTCTCCCTCGACGTGTGTCATATCTGGCGGGGGAAGTCATTTTTCCAACTAACATGAAGGCATCATTTGCGCATTCAACGACAGCCAATCGGTAGCCACACGTCATAGTTCTTATTTGTCACACTTTTCAGAGTTAAGAATATAATACGTTTTTAAAATGGCACGGACGGAATGTAGTTTTTATTAACGTAATTGTACAATGTCTCCCATTTAAAAAAAAAATGAAGTGGAAAAAGAACATAGGCGAATGGTTCAGTCATTTTTGTCAGTCGAAATCCTTATCTTGTCATATTAAACCTATGGAAGAGGTGGGAAATGTACATTTGTACTGTCAAAGAAATATATGTTAGCTTATTTTTTAAAAATTACCAAAGAATTTGTACTTGGAGTGGAGTTCAGCTTTCAAAGCAAACACGGTGAAGCGGCATCGCACCATTATGTCAAGTTGAAAATTGACATTTGTAGACATTGTGTGTGACGTGACATTTTTTTTTGCTTCTTTGAATCCCCACTAGTGAGCATTTAATCTAATATAACGCCCCCCCACCCCTGACCCCCCAATTCCAGATTGAAATAGCCAATATTGACATTTCAGGTGCCTCAACGTCATGCACACGAGGAGCTATAAATGAGCCGTGGAAGCGTCACCGCCGCCACAAGTCACCCGCACCTCGAACCAGGATGTGCGGGACACATTTGGAGCAGGCAAATCAAGGTCGACTATACTTTTGGTTATGTTTTGAGAAGGTGATTTTACGAGGGAGTTGATGGTTGTTTTTGTGTGGGTTTTTTTTTTCTTCTTAACAGGAGGTGGAAGTGTTAATCAACTGGGCGGGACGTTCCTCAACGGCAGACCTCTCCCGGACTCCAAGAGGAGGAAAATGGTGGAGCTGGCCTCGGAGGGGGTGCGACCGAGTCAAATCTCGAGGATTCTGCGGGTATTTGGAGCAGGGGTTGGAATAGTTTGGGATCCAAAGTCCGGTCAATCGTATCTCAAGAGACCACTGTGATTTATTTTGCCAAAATTTAGGGAAAGTGCGTCTTTTCCAGGTGTCAACAGGCTGCGTGAGTAAAATCCTCAGCCGCTACCGCCTCACCGGCCTCGTCCAGCCCAAGACAATCGGCGGGGGCCCGGCGCCTCCTCATGCCCGCTGTCATTGCCGCCATCGTACAGCACAAGCGGGACAATCCGTCCATTTTCGCCTGGGAGATCAGGAAAAGCCTGCTGGCCGCCAGGAGCTGCAAGGCCTCCAGAGTTCCCAGCGTAAGTTGTTTTTTTTCCTATTTTAAAGACATTTAGATGTATTTTGATATGTTTTGTGGTTCCTAAGGTGTCGTCCATAAACCGGATTTTAAGGAGGCTCCCCTTGGAGCAGGAACCATGGAGCGACACACAATGGAGGGCTGAACACAGTAAGTTCTCACCACAGTAATACTAAGTTTGGATTTTTCGTTATAGGTCATTTTTATATCATTTGGATTTTAGTTTTCTTAAATTTAGTTGTAATCATTTTTTAGAGCAGGTTTGTCAGTTTTAACATAAGAGTATGAGGAGTTACATCGAGAAAATGTAACCCTTTGTCGCCATCTCGTGGCACTCATGCGCAATTACAGTACAGTATCAATCTTTACAGGCGTGTCAATCAGTCGCAAAGGTTTGCAATTTCCCGTGAGTTGACCTAACGTTTGGCAGGTTTTTACACCACCAAAGAAGAAGAATCCAGTCCGCGCAATCCCAAAGGTGCCCACCAGAGAATCCGGACCACTTTCACGCCAGAGCAGAGCAAAGTCTTGGAAGAAGGTGACAATGAATGACAACACTAGAGAGGAAAAAATACATATCTAATTTCTTCTGTTTATACTGCAGAGTTTTCCCACAGCCAGTACGCTGACGTGTACACAAGAGAGAAACTCTCAGCCCAGACCCGACTTCCCGAGGACACCATCAAGGTCGGAGAAGAAAATACTTCCGGTCAAGTCGCTAATTCCCGAAACTGAACTTGCTGTGTCTCCACGAAAAGGTGTGGTTCTCAAACAGACGCGCCAAATGGAGGAGGCAAGTCCAACAAAGTAAGTTTGTCGAATTGCAACAGAAACTTACGATGGTGCTCAAGTATTTTGTCCTTCTCAGCTGCCGTATGTCCCAATGTGCAAAGGAGCGCCCAAACTCCACAGGTAATAACTCATGCGCACAAAAAAAAAAAAAAAAACGTCCATTGGTTATGCTAACATTTATGCCGTTTAATATGCTGGTAGATGACGACTGGGCCATCATACTACGGCGCATATCGGATGCTTCCCAGCGGTGACGCAGGTTCGTAAAGTTCACTCCAACTTTCTAGCCCATCTAAAAATATGACTGAGATTAAAATACAGGAGCGTAGTGAGCCTATGTGTTCATTGAAATTAAGGCAGGTTTTAGTCCTAAAAAGTATATTGAAGCCATCATGCGCAGTTCGAGCGTTGACATTGTGCTTAAATACGGGAAGAAATTGTCCGAAAATGTACTTAATATGAGTAATAATAATGAAAGTCCACCCCCCGCCCCCCACTTAAAATAAAAACAAAAAGGTAGTATTTTTTTTAATATGGTAAATCACACTCTAATATTCAATTTTATAACAACAAAATTACGTGTCGAATGTGAAGAAATTGAACTGTCATCTGCTTCTGGTGTACGCGATTTGGCCACTGGGGGGCAGTATAATAAAGTCATGCAGACACAAAGTAATTTTTGTCGACATGTATTGGTGATTGTGTTCAAACTTCCTAAGGTGTGATGACATCACCACAGAGATGCTATCTGTTAGCCTGTCTATGTCGTTTCCCATTGCGCATTAGCATGTTGCTACCCCCGCATCCCCATTAAAAGCCTACGCCGTGCCACTAACCTCCAATTTCTGTTGTGAAACCCGTCATCAGGTTTCGGATGTTCCACGTGCATCTCCGGCAGTGCCTCCGGGGTCCCCTCACTTCCTCAGCAGCACCCCAAAGGCGCCAGGGCGTGCAACACCACAGCGGACTTCAACGTCACCTCTTCCGCGCCGCACAAGATAAGGCCTGGATTTAACCTGCAGCACCACCTGCAGGAAGAACACAGATCACACTTATCTGCCTCAATGATTTTGCAATCATTTCAATAAAATGTGTTTTTGTTTTGTTTTGTTTTAAGAATTGAGATTTATTGACATAAGTGATGGTAATAAAAGCATGGCTGAACGACTGGACAAGCACGGTTAACATCCAGAAAGTCGGTAGCCGCTAATCGTAACGCCACGGCTCATTCGCAGAAGTAAATGACATGTCCACATGCTAGCGCCAGGGAAATGATCCGTGACTATTTTTGGTGTTCTTATTGTCAACCGAAGGATAGCCGGGGGGGAGTATGAACCTGAAATCCAATTCCAAATCTCACACTTCTTGTAGTTATTTCCTGCAACAAAACAGAAGAAATATGAAAATTAGTATCATCACTGTGGATCATTTGGCAACATTGAATCATTTCATAAATCATCCCAGCAAGAGGCGATTGCGTCTCACTGCAAAGTTTTTTTGTTTTTTTTTCAGTTTTATTAAAATGGAAATAGCAAAGCGCAACAAAACACAAAACCAAATAATCGTAGGGGGCCAAAAAATAGCAGCTTTGATAGACATTATAAAAAATAGATTCAGCCAGTTGCTGTGAAATTACAAAATATGACCATGTGATATTTACAAAAATGTACACTGTCGGTCAATTAAATAAGAGTTCGTACAAAATGAACATGTAGTAGAAGACAAAAAAAAAAAAAAAACCGATATTTTCCGATTTGGATTGAGCCACAGTCAGTTGAGGAACTTAGGGCCCGACCGATCTTGATTTTTTTGAGGCCATTGCTGATATTTGGCAGAATAAAATTCTGCTAACCAATTAACCGACCGATGGAGGAAAAATATATCATGAATAAAATAACTTCTTTATTGGTCCCTTTACGTACACAACAATAAAGATATGAATTAGCGTATAGGCAGAGCGTTTATTTTAAAGTTTACAACACGGCGTAATTGTCCACAGTCGGCTAATTTTTTATTTTATTTTTTTGCCAATTCATTTTTTGTTTTGGTAGGGAATTTTTGAGTATCAGCCTCGCCTTGTGTTGTAAGGCAAAATATTGATCCATTTGGGGCAATTTTAAAAGAGATAATATTGGCCGATTAAATCGGCCTGCTGATGAATCGGTCGCGCCCTAATTGTTATTATTCATTAAAAAATATATATATTAACTTAAATGTTCTGAATTCCTTTTTTTGCATAGCTGACAAGTTCCACTCTATTCCTTCAAAAGCTCCATGACGCTTCTTTTATTGTTTTTGTTCTGATCCAGATGTGGTGAAGCAAAGGGTCCAAAGCTTTACCAAAATAGGATGAATAATCATCCAACTGACACAGCCTCGAGCCAGAAATGACTTCATTTTAACAGCAAACCATCAGGCTGCAGATTCTTTTTTTTTTTTTTGTGCTCATCTGGTCTTAATTAATTCCAAAACCATTTGGACTGCAGTCGACAATAAATACAGCCAAGCTACCTCTTTCTTTTAAATATATCAAACACCATCAGCGGCGCGAAGAAGTGATGGGAAGGGGAGTGGGATCTATGAGACCCATAAACTCGCGTCCGAAAATCCGCCCCGCTATGTACATAGAGCTCCACTTTGCGTGAAAGAGGAAAAAAAAATATCCGAGTGACCGCACACAGCCCGCCAGGGGCCACGGCGGTTCCCTCCAAAAACGCAGAGGCGTGTTTGCCTTGGCGAGAGCCGCCGCTCGCTCATGCTACAAGCATTAGCACGAGACCTCGGATCGGAGCATGAAAGCAGCATTTGATCGCCCGCCCAAGCTTCTTGTCCTTCACGGGCCACCATCCAAGTATTCAAGTAAATTCCAGGAGACGATTCTTAGTCACGCTTCGCTTCACTCAATCTTCATTTGCATAGTGGAGATTCCATTTGGTCGTCTGCAATTTTTTTTTCCCTGAAGAAAAAAAAAAAAAAACATCCTCCTTTTTTTTTTTCCGGCCCTGGTCTGTCAGTTCGTGTCGGGGCTGGGGTAAAGCTTAAAGACTTTGTAAATCCACTGCGAGTAGAACGCCACGTTGACAAAGAGCGCCGGCCGCGACGACGCGCACTTGGTGCGCTGGATGCTCACGCCCATCACAACGCGGCGCTCCTGCTTCTGGCACACGAGCGGACCACCGTTGTCTTTCTGGCAAAAGGGGGAAAAAAAATGTAATTAAAAACTAAAAATAAATCAGCATTAGGACGAGCTCAGAGTGACAACCAGCTATCTGTTTTTTTAAGATTTCATACAGAGTTGTGATTCAAATATGGGCTAAATATGGAAGTGTTTGCTATTAATAGTAAAAGAACAATATGGGAATGTAATTTTTTTTTGTCCACTTGGGATCACCATCTTCTCATTCTGCATATGTGATTGGTGCGCTGGATTTAAAGATGGGGCCTCGCCTGGTGAGTGACGTGGGCGTCAGCGAATGAGTCGAGTTGGGTGGCTGCTGAGCGGAATAAATATGTTTCAGTTCCCGTGTCTACGATTCCTTAGTGTTCTGGGAAATTATTTAAATCAAGTTGAGCATGAATCCGTCCTGATTTGTGACCGCTCTATGAAATCTGCCTAGCAACAAGCAAGTTGAGGCGCCCCTTACTTCGCACACGCCTTCTCCTCTCTTGCCTCCAGCACATATCCTGCTCTCTCCGGCGTCCCCTTTGATCCGGGAGCACTTGTCGTCGTCCACAATCGGCATGGTCACGACGTTCAGCGCCCGCTCCCGTTCCCTATCTATGCGCGCAAGGCACAACGGTTGCAGGGAGACTTTTGTTTTTCAATATGAGCGAAAGCAAAAAAAAAAAAAAAAGACTACCTCTGGTTTCGCCCCATCCGTACATGGTGCAGTTGGTGCCCTCGGTGATGTGGCATTCTTGGACGGGGAGATGGATGGTGGTGGCGCCCTCGGACACGGGCGCGGGGCTGGAATGCGCATTAATCACAGTCACACCGCGTTGATTGAAAACGGAGCAAATGGCGCTCGCGTGGAGGAATGTTGGCAACTCACTTGGCCAGTTTCAGCATGACCAGGTTGGATCCCTCCGGGCCGCAGATAAGGCGAGAAATTCCGAGCCTGGGGTGACGCGACGACTCGTTCAGGTGGCGCAGGCCCACCTGCACGCTGTACTCCCTCAGGTCGGGAACGCTGAGAAACGTATTTGAAAACAAAAAAACTTTCTTTCGGGGCATGTTATTTAACAAACACGTATGCATGCCCAAACTAGTCGGGATTAAAAGAGGATAAATCAAAATCTTAAAAAGGTGGTACCAGGATGTGAAGCACTGCTGGTCCGTCAACACCCAATCTTCTCGGATCAAAGACCCTCCACATAAATGGATCTTCCTATAACGACAGCAATTAAAAAAACAAAACAAAACACATTTTTTGTGACTCCCCCGGGGCGGCCCGACAAAAATAACAATAGCAACCAGAAACAGAGCATCTCACTCTCTCTGGATGCTGACGACCCAGCTGCCATCCGTTCCTCGCACTTGCTGGCCCCCGACGATGCGAGTGGTGATGTGAACGAAGCACGAGATCTTGGGGACGGTTGGGGCCGGAGCAGGTGGCGTTTGCGTCGCTGGATTTCACGGGGGTTGAGAGTGGACGTCACAACATGTGGGCCCCAAAAGCGAGTAGGGAGAGGGGGTAAAAAATACTCACCGTTTGGAGGCACGGGTGTCGTGGAATCACCTGAAATGAGCAAATGAAGATGTGCAGGAATTAGGAAGTGAATTGTACAATTTGCAAGATGTGATAGACAACAAACGGCTTTTCCATGAGCGACAAATTACATGCAGACGGTCAAGACCGAATATGAATGTTTGCTCTGCTCAAGGCTGACAGTTTGATAGCCACAAAGTCACATGTGGGCTAATACATGTGGCGAACACATTCAACAAAGGCTCTGTTTCACTTTTATATCGTTTGTCCATTCTTTTGCAAAGGCAATAAATTAAATCGTCCGCCACGAAAAACAAACAACCCCCCCCCAAGAATTACATTTATGATTTAAAACGAATTAACTCATTCACTCCCAAAGATGTTTTTAAACATCTTTTCAGACTTGGTCCAGAATTGGCTGGTACTGAATGAGTTAAATTGATTATTTCACTCATGTGATATATTCATGCAATAACGTTTCATCGTATTGACTAATATTCACGAAACCATAAATTGTATGAGTATGTTTTTTATTGATTCATATTATTTACATTACGCGGCTGTCACAACTGCCGTCTGACCTGTTTATGCAGCAAATTAATTTCATTCCCATTCGAGCGATTCACAATCAACCAAGTCATCCCATGGCTCAAAACTGACTTTTATGATTTCAACAGCAACCCGTTTAGGCAGCAAAGAAGAGACTCCGTTATTTTTACGGAAATTCTCAACAAACCACGTCACCTTTTCGGTCCCACTAGTGGAATGAATGAATTCCACTGCGTCAAAATGATTACAACTGACACTCTGGCTAATGAAAAAAATTGACATTGCCCTGTCAGGATTGATCGGAAAATGGTTCCAAAATCCAAGCGGTGAATTATTCCTACTTTGACAGGAAAGTCAAAGCTATCAAGCACATCTGCCGCCCGGAGGCATTCCTCTGACGTTCGGCAGTGTTGCGCGCTACCTTGTTGACATTCTTGGCAGTGCGCGGGGCGTACCGTCTTCTTGGCAAGTGGACAGTTCACATCAAGAGGATGGCAGAGCGCACACTGGAAGAACTTCCGCTTTCCCAGAGGAAACCTCGCAGCACAAGATGCTGCTTGTTGCACTGTCAGCTACCCAGATCTGCTTTCATCAGTCATTAGCCAGGTGCAGGGAAGGTGTCAAAACACACCCGACACCTGCTGCACATTCCTCACATTCCCAACGCAACGCCAGCAACAGAAGGTTTGTGCGCTGTTTGGAACCTAACGTGCTGACCGAGCACAGATCAAACGCTTGGTCCCGAGGCCAAAAATGAGGATTTGTGCGCCGTCGCTTGAAGGGGTAGCCGGAGAGTTCCCACCAACACACGTCGTCTGTTCTACTGAGGCCCAGTGACATCACTGACCTTTTTCTTAGCTACAGATGCCAAGGCAGCCCAAGCTTTCCGAGCCTGATATGAGAGATACGGCGGCGTGCCTGTGAAGGTTGCGGTCATGCGCCATGTCAAAGTGACAAGGAAATAATGCAAAACAAATCGTGATGGACACCAAGGCGTGACGGATTGCAGAGCGAGTCGACCATCAACAAAGAAGAAGAGGCAGCAGAGTAAGACTGCTGCGTGACATAGAAACCATTGAACACGTTACAAAAGGGAGCAATTAGCTAGCACCGTTAGCTTAACCGGATAAGGACGCCTAATTGGCAAAGCATGAGTGAAATTTTCGGTTGACTAGTTAACAACAGCAGATCAACACATTGCGATTTCAGACTGGAATGAGCTTCATTGATTCACACAGAGCATAGAATGCCGCTTTCCAAAACAGACTGCAGTCCATTTTTGGAAATCAAAATTTTCACTTTGGGAGATCCCCAATCATAAAACAAATACTTCCACTCACAGTGCTTCAGTTTGCAGTAGTCCCAAGCCAGGCGAGTGTTCGGGTCAGTGTAGCACCAGGGGCCGTGTTTGTCTCGGTCCGGGTTGCGGCAGTAGTTCTTGTCCAGCCCTACATGGGATAGTGTAGAGTGAGAATCCCCGCTGTAAAACACACAAATATAGATACTCATGTTCCGTTTGTTATTTGGCAAACAGTGGATAGCACAAAACGCACGCACGCACACACACACACACACACACACACACACACACACACACACACACACACACACACACACACTGCACGCTGAACGGCCACAGCGGGGCAAGAAAGTCGCATTTCAACGACTGCGGCGCGCCCGTAGAAGGAAACGGCGCGTTTGGCCAATGGCGCTCATGGGACTTTGAAAGTATGCACTCTCAGACCGCCAGGAGCCACGTCCTCCACCGCGCACACTTGGAAGAATTCCCATGCAAGGAGCGCGCAAACCCTGTTCTTGCCGATCCCTGAAAAGCCATTACTGGATGGGACCAAGACACACACACACACACACACACACACACACACACACACACACACACACACACACACACACACACACACACACACAAAAACGCCCATGCTCACGGAAGCACGGCAATTTGTCAAGAGGTGAAGATAATTTCACTTCCCAGGAGAATGTTAAACAAGCTGTGGTGTTTTTTCTTCCCAGGACGACCCCTCACCTCAAACGGAGCTAGACTAGCTGGCGAGGGGAGCTGATTGGCTTTGATCTGCCCCCCACGCCAAGCACTTCCCGCGGGTCAGGGGTCTGCTCTGGAACATGTCCATCTTCCCGTGCCGTTTTGGCTTTTAAAATTCTTGTAAATTAAGCCATTCCAACCTGCAAGTGTCAGGAATAATAATTGGGCTTGGTATTGACCCCTGAGGAACCCCCCTGATTTTCCCATATATTTATATGTATTTTTTTACTGTTTGTTTTCACGGCTAAGCTCCATTCATATGAAAAAGATTTTCACATGGACAAAAAAAAACGGGGGGCTTGTCCGCTTGTCAACAAACACTCATCAGTTAGCAGTGAAGAATGTCCCCCCCCCTCTCTCGAGGAAACATTCCCAGTGTTTCGCCGCTTATGTTGGCTCTGAAATAAGCAATAGATTTCCAGAAACGTTAGGGTAGGGGCACATGGCTATAGCCATGTTAGCTTCTGGTTAAGGATCATAAGTAGGCCAAACGCTGGAAGGATAACACTTCTCCGATTTGAATGACAATGCGACAGACTGATCAGCTTACAATTTTGAAAACATCCCTCCAACCAAGCACAAACCATATGTAACCATAGTTCGCTCTTGAAAAAGCAAAAATGATGAGGGGAAAAATACCAAATGAATTAACCTCCACTTTTCTTACCTGTTGATGTGAAGGGACCAGTTGGCGCAAGGAATCCCGGAGCGAGTGATGCTTAAGGTGCCCCGGTATGCCTCCCCGTTGTCCTCGTAACACTCTACAGAAGAACGAGAGTATTTCAAATACATTTCTCCCCTCCCCCGGGGCGGGGGTGGGGTGGCAATCGAGCTTTCACTTACGGCGCCTAATTGCAATCATTGAGCGCGAGTGTGTGGGCTCACTCGTGAGGCGCGCCGCGGTCTTTTTTAGCAGTGCGCCGAGAGCGCTCGAAGGCAATAAAACATTCAAAAGGAATCAGAGCACATGTGGTCTGCTTCAACGGAGAGCAGACAAACATGCTAAGTGACAGCGCTTTCCAATGCGGGTCGCTTTATTCCTTCTAGTAAAATGCAACGGGGTATCCTCATACACACATTTTGTTTATTAACTCAACATCAGTTTTTATTCGATGACTCCATAGATTTGCCTCGTGGCCATGAGGTTGTCTGACGCCTGAGAGTGATTTACCGGTTTTCTTGGATGCCTGGACGCCACACCTGGGGATGTGCGTGCAGTTGGCTCTGCGCTGGTTGGGCTCGCTGGTGAAGCACCAGGGGTACTCGGACCCATCCGGGTTGCGACAGAAGTTGTCACGCAGGTCCCTGGGAGGCGCACAAGCAAACACAAACCAGGACATTTTTTTTTCTTAAACGAGAAGGCCATCTTTTTGGATGTTTGTCACGGCAACAGTCTGGATAAAGAGATCCCCCCCCCCGAGAGAGCGCCTTAGCTGAATCCAAGATGTCGGACAAATGCGCATGACTCACTTGCATTTGAAGTTGTCTGGAAGAAAGAAGTGCAGGTGGGGGAACTGCGAGTCCCAGCGCTGACACGTCACCCCTTCGGGAGTTACGTTCATGGTGCCGCGGTAGTCTTGACCCTTTCCCCGGACGCACCACGTCGTCGCGTTCACATCTGGATCCCCGCTGGAGTCGGATTCTTGAAAAATAAATAAATAAAAAAGGAGGAGGGGGAAAGATATTAATCCTTGCAAGAATGTGCCATGTTTAACCTGGAGACGGATGATTAAAAACAGCGGCACGCCCGCCACGCCAACCCCACCGTGCTGATAGGAAGCTTGCTGTTTATTCGTAACACTCACGGACGCCTTGCGATGGGACGTCCGCAACAACAACACCTTACACAAAGTCCTTCGATCAATATGTTGCATGTCAAATATTAATTGGACTGTATTTTAGGAACTCGAAGCCATTCCTATTGCATTTGTTTATAACGCAGCGTGGCCACTGTTATCATTTCAGGAGCAAGGCATTCTTCCTCACATGGGGAATCCACAATAACAAGAAGTCATTTAACCCTTAAGGAGGTCCTGCGTTGCGAAAACATGCAAAATTGTCAATTTTTTTTTTTTTTGTGTACTATTCAATCATTTTTGGGGAGGCTGACTTTGAACCAATAAACCTTACTTCACTGTAAAGTGTTTTCTAGATACTGTAATGGAGAATGACACAATTATATTCACACTCACGTCCATAGGCAAAAAAAAACCAAAAACAGCTTATCGTTTTCAGTCACGATGCCAAAAAGTGCATTTTCCATATCAAGAAGCAAATCTCAAGGTCGTGTTGAACCTTTTCTGTTTTGCGCAAACTTATGAAGGTTAAATTTACAACATCGGACACGAGATCTTCCCAGTGTAGAAATCCCTTGCTTTGAAAGCATCCTCACAAGGAAATGATCCTGAACACATTCAGGTGGAATCTTCTCCCCCCACCACCCCATCCCACTCCGCCCGTAGATTTCTGTCTGCGTTTCTTTCGCCTTTGACAAATGAGACGAGAGAAGATGGAGAAGGCGAGGTCGTGTTTGGCAGGGGAGGGGAAGAGGAAAAAAAAAAGGATTCTTGATGTAACGCATGCCAGGCAACATCACAGGTCAGTGGTTTTTATCTGCGCGAGGGCCGCCATTGAGGGATACACACATCTGGACACAACGCCCCACCCTGCCTGTAAATCATTAGATGCACTGTTAATTCAATGCATGTGGACAGAAACAAAGAAGGATGCTTGCATTTTGTGTGCGAGTACATTTCACCGAAGCGAACGCGGGGGGAATCTTTTCACTTGGTGTGTTGCGAATGTTCCCACCACCGCGGCGCATTTTTATGTGAGACCCGTTCAGAATGCCAAAAAAAACATTTCAAAACCTTTTGTTGATGTGATTAAAATGATTTGGACAGTCATCATTCATAATTTCAAATACAATGGCAAAAATAAAAATGTCATAATAAAAAACAAATGTACACCCCCCCCCAAAAAAAAAAAAATCCTCAATATGCAACTCAAAGTGAACTGGCAAACAACCTAACGAGCTCACGACCAAAAAGCAAACAGAAAAAGTATTTTGGTTTGGGTTTCGTATTTAAATAATCCCACTAGCACGCGAGCTAGATTGAAAATTTGAAACGAAGCAATTCAATAACCGACAACATAAATTGCAAACAAAAACCAGAAAGATTATCGTGAAATCGCGTGCATGGTACGCACCCAGTGTATTATATGAAAAAAAAAAAAAGAAGAAGAAGTACAACGCTGGCAACATGCGCCCGGAAATACACTGTTAGCGTAATGAAGTCGTATGGTGTAGAATTAAAAAGAATTATGAGCGGTTCCTAGAATGACATCTTTACACTTGAGAAATTTTAATTTGGTGCGCCAACCACCAACCCACAATAACTGTTCCCAGTCAGGACTCCCAAATATAACGTGGAAAGTACAAAATTATTGACCGGGATATAAAACAATGCAGTGGTGACTCTATTGTGACGAAAATAAAAGCACCCAGACGGTATTTTACGTTTTACTTTGACTTCAGAGTCGTCGTGAGGGCTTCTCAGAGACGGCGAGCGGGCCGGATGTCGCCCCTGAGCCGGTACTCTGCCCAGGCCTGTTCTGGATTTGATTCCCCTTCCTAAGGGTTCCTTTGACAATAGTCTAATAAAACAATCGGGCGGCGCCCAGAACAAGAAAAACCAAGCCACGTCAACAACATTAACACTGGGGACGGCAAACAATAACTCGGCGGGAAAAAGCCAAAACCAGCGAAGAACAAGCACTCCCTTCTGTCGCCATTAATCCCCACAAACCCCAAACCATCGTCTGCCCGTTGCTTCGAGTGTTCTCTGATCTCCTCAAAGCGGCTATTTTCAGACTTGAAACGGGCCGAGATGAATTCTCACGGAGGAGTGATCGGGAGTGGGCGCAGCCCTCGTACCACACGTGGTGATGTTGCAGTATTCCCAGGGAGTCTTTGGATCCATGGTGTAGCACCACGGTCGAAGACGATTGTCCGGGTTGCGACAGTAGTTGTCCGCCAAGCCTTTGTCCTTGTACCTGAGCGGGAGAACGGATGGCAGAGGTTAAAAAGTGCTGAAAGTCACTGCGGCTGTTTTGCGGACTCACTTTTTGGGCTGGAAGGTATGCTTGTGGGGCCGGGTCGAGTCCCATCTCTGGCACTCCTTGCCGCTCTCGGTTTGGTCCACTTTGCCTCGGTATTGCTCGCCGTTGCACGCCACGCAGACGTCTGTCAGCGCCGTTGAACCGCACATTTATTGATGGGTAAAACCGCAAGCCCCGTATCGCTTTTTCATTTGGCACCGTCTTACCCTCCGAACACCGCGGCACCCCGCACTCCTCAGCCCGCACATTAGGATCGGTGGTGTAGCACCACGGACCACCGGGGTCGTTGTTGGGATTCCGGCAGAAGTTCTCCCTCAAATCCTGCGTTGGGTATCTATCGGGGTAAAACCTACAAAGGGGAAGTGGACGCAATGTGCATTTGAGAGCGCCGTAAGCTTCTCAAATAAATTTCAGGGAGCCACCGGGTCGGTGTATATGCGAGGGGGGTTCCGCTCTCGCTACCTAGCAAAATAAATCCACAGCCCATTTGCATGAAGGCCCCAGCTAGGAGATTTAAAAACCGTGGCAATCGAATGCAAAAATCAGTCACCTTTGCTTCATTAGCGGTACCTTGTCGCTGCTCCTTCATGTGTGAAGGAGCCTGACAGGAGCAGGGGCAACCGTGGCCGTGGAACGTGACGTGATTGATCACCCAGCGTGACGGGCATTTTTTGCGAGCGCCTTTAAACGTAATCCCCATTTCAGTCAAGCAGCCGTGAAAGTGGCGGCGCAAGAACCAGACTTGAGTGTGAGCTTTTAACAATGCCAAACAAGTCCTCGATACGCTTTGTCCAAATGTGTGACTTCACAGGACCAGGAAAAAATTGCCTACATTGACCCGCCAAGCGATAGCTAAGCCGTCGTAACCCAGATTGCACCTTTTTTATGTAATCCCCCCTTCTGATGAGTGAGCGCGGTCAAGCCACTGTTCGATAGCCGGAACCAGAACCGCACCATTTCACACGGGCGAGGTGTGGAAATCGGGATTATCACGATGATGCGGACTGACCATGAACTTCAAATGCAAATTAAAAAAACAGCGAAGGTCTACGGGTTTTTCCAGCCTGTCAGCAGGTTGTCCGAACACTCTACCCTCAGCGACGACTCCTCTCCTGGGGGAATTTACTCTAACCTTGCTCCGCCCTCTCCCCTCTTATGCTCCGGGGCTTACATAAAGCTCTGACACTAATGCACGACATCATTCAAAGCAGAACAAGGAGAAACACACACACACACACACACACACACACACACGCAAAAGAAAAATGTCACGAAAATCTCACCCCCGTTTAGCGACGCAGCACCAGAACCCGAAACATCTGCTTTGTGTTAAACCTCTTTATAATGTCAACGTTTTTATGTCATACTCCAGTAGATAATAAATTGTATTACAAGGTAGTACAAGGTACCCCACACAACACGGGCCGCATGTGGCGAGAGTCCATAAAAGGCTGCCGCACGAAGCGCGAGTTAGCCGTAATGACGCTGCGCTAACAGATGTTAGCCAGTTACCCCTCCAATTTATCTCGCTGCCAGAGTCGGTTCACGTTCTACAATACGCTGTGTTACTATGCGCACATACTTACTTTGAACGCATTGGCAAGGCACGGCCAAAGCAACGCTCGCCTGCGAAAAGCGACTACGGGTAATATTTACGACTCGTGGTACGGCGTACTCCATAAAGTCGGACCTCTCGAGTCGTAAAACAAGTAGTGACTTTGAAAATGACAGCTGAGAATGACATTGAAGAAGATCGATGAACGGGTTTTAGCTTGTAGCCTCTCCGATACATTTTTGAGCACGAGACAAAATGTAAAATTAAAAAAAATTTTAAAAGGGCTCTGGGCTTGTAAAAAATTTGGTACTGAATTTGGATAAGATGAAAGCCGTAGCTAGCACAAATGAGCTAGCATGGCAGACTACTTTTGACAAATTCAACTGCTGTCCAGGTTGAATCAAGTTTTCAAGTTTTGGTTCACATTTCAACCTTAACGAAAGGGGCAAGTTAATTCAGAGCCACAGTTGTGTTCACACCTAGAAAATACAAATTCGTTCTGGATTAGCTTTAACGACTGTAAAAACAACTCATAAGTGCTAAAAGCCAACAAACGCAAACAATTAAGTAAAAGATGCTAACGCTACCAAAAAATGAAATACAATTACATCGTAAAATTTTCTTGAAAATACTGTCTGTCACGATCCAGTTTTAATGAAAAATTATTCTTGGGGGACGAGTGATTTAGGACAGGAACAAATGTCCAGTTCGGGCGGTGTTTTTTTTTTTTTTTTGCGCTGACCACCTGGCGTCCATGTGAATTTGCTGAGTTATGGGCAGTGTGAAATATTTCACCCTTCACGGAACGCTGGGTGTCAACACGCAGTTTCTCAGACAACACGGTTCAATTCCCAAAGGTCCAAAGGACATTCCTGGTTGGAAACATCGCGGGAAATCACCCCGGTTTGGCATTGTGTCTGATCAAGCATGAACATAATAGTCGGGGAGCTTTGACGTGGGAGCACAGCGGAAGGTTAGCTTGCCCTAGGCGTCGCTAAATCCCGTCAAAAATCAGAGGTCACAAATGTCATTTCGTGCCATTTTTATGGACGAAGCGCTTCAAAACTGTCGGCATGCGACTAATGAACGCTGCTAGTGAGAAGCGGGCTAAAATCAACATGCAAAAAAAGCTAAACTAAGAGAACACAGATTGACTGGTCCATGCCGTTAGCATTAGCCTGCTAGCACTTGTATTTTGAAGGTAGACAGATGAAAATGTTCTGTTCTGTAGTCGCAGAACGATTTGGCAAGGCAGTCGGAAAAAGACGTTAAAAAAACTGTATTACAGTTGCGTCTTCGCTTTGACGAAAAATAGGCATCATATTCAAAATTGCAATAAAGTGTTGACACCAAAATTTCTTTGACTTTCTAATAACATTAGCCAGCTAGTGCGCTAGAATCTAAGATGTAACATGAAAGTAACCATACATTTCCGAGTTTGGATTACATAAAAAGGCAATATTAACATATGGTTGACAACCAAAGCTAGTAAGGGTACAAAAAATAAAATAAAATGGCGCATTTCCAAAGGCAGTAACGGCTCCACCTGGTGGTGGCATTGGGGAATCACAGTATAAATGCAGCAAAGGGGATATAACACTTTTGTCCCTGACCCGAAACCTTTCAAGAACTCTTTTTGCACAAGCCCGCCAGCACGGATGTCGCCACGACTTTCCGACACTTTGAAGGTATAAAAAGAGGGAGTACTTACGTGTGTTCATTGATGTTATTATCAGACCAGGCTTGACATGTTATGTTCGACTTGGTCCAAGACCTCCTCCCTCTGTAGTTGTCCTTGGGTCCCATGACACACTCCCTTATGTAATCTGAGCAGAGTGGAGAAAACCCGCTTCAAAGTGTCCATTCATATTGCATTATTCTTACGAATTACATGATTTTCCAATCACGTTTTGGGGTTTGACCATATTTGGTCAATCGCAGCTTTTTGTTCTGCCCAAAACAACTGACGGGGGTTCGGTAAATGTCATCGGAGCGGCGGATAGGAGTTTCCGCAAATTCTCAAGTGCTAGATTCCACAGGCTGCATGGCGCTACGACTGTAAACAAAGATTCTTTACGGGCTTGTTTACGCGTCACTGCCGAGTGTCCTTCTCCAAACGGGTTTGTTGTGTCAACGCGGATGTCGGCCGTCTCCGTGCGCTTCCCCGATGTGTAAATAGTCGTGAATAGCGTCACGCCAAACGGGCCGATGTGTTTACCTTTCTTTTCGTACAGCGTGAAGTTGGCGCTGGGCTGCTTCTGCGCGCCGTGGCTGAACCGGTCAAAGGGGAGCAAGTGGCATTTCCTGTTGTGTTTGTGGAAGTTGAAGGCCCTGCACACAGGAAGGCGTGAGCAGATGAACAGCTGATTAAAAAAAAAAATAAACTAAATAGCAACGGCAAGGAATGTCGGACTTTCACCTGCAGTTGAAGTGCTTCTTGACTTTCTTGCACTTGCGGGCGCAGTGTTCCTGCGAGCGACTGTTGCGCACCACGGGCGACTGCGGGCATTTGGCACAGACCAGCAGGTGGTTTTCGGACTTTTCGTAGCGCTGCAAAGACTGTCGGCTCTTTCGGCAGTCACCTGATGGGCGGAAAACGGCAAGCTAGCGTCAGAAGTTACTCAGAAACTCGGCATCACCCTAGTCCAAATTCAAAAGTGAAAATTTGCATTTGAGAAAAATCCAGAAAATTAGCATGATACATTCTGGTGTGAACTGCGAAAACCGAATTTTGCCAATTTTGCCAACCATTTTATTCAATTTTAATTAAATCTAAAATTACTTGGGATATATTATTACGTCAAAGTGTAACTTTAATTTTTAAACATAACATCAACATTTTCTGAGAACTGACGATGTGACCGGCACGCTAGCATTGCAACGCTGTAGAAATGGACGAATGTTTTTTTGGGGACCTTTGCACTTTCAAATGACAGCGGTCCAATTTTCAGCCCTAGCACCTTCAAATTCTGACCAAATGTCCCGCTTTTTGGAACAAAATACTTTGCTAATGTGAGAAGGAGTCAATTTGGAAGCTATTATCGTACTTAGCATGATGTATTCCCTCGTAAACTCTTGCGAGGAGACATGGCACGAGTAAACGCCGTAAAAGTGACAAGCAAATTGAAACATTGCCATCGCTCTCGCTTTGTTTCCGAAGGGCCCTCGGCAGACAGTCTTGCAGCGAGTACCGTCTGAAAAGAAGCGATGCAATGACAATGTGTGCAGATGAGGGGGTTCACGAGGAGGACAGCGCCGTTATTCAAAAGCCCAAATCCTCCCGCGGTCACTTCCACCTGCCGGGAGGAGAAATAAATAAAGCCCCACCTTGCACAGAACCAGGTTTCGGTTACAACGTATGCTCGTTTCACTTTACAAGCGACACGAGCCTGGTGGCAAAGATGCTTGGAAATGTTTTTTTTTTTTTTTTTGACGTGCTCCTAATGCTTGGGCTCAAGTGCAGCACATCTGGCACTCATCACAGTGTTGTTGCAGCCCTCATGTCTGGCGAGGCTGCTCAATTAGATTTCACTTAGGCTCTTCCTCACACTCGGCAAAGGCCTAACCTGCACTTTGCGGTGAACAAGTCGCACGGATCGTCGGGGTGGGCTGCGGTGGGGCCAATACATGGTGGGACAGATACAGCTGTTATCAATGATATCAATTATGATTCCATTCCTGTGGGGTTTAGGAGAGCGTTACGTCTTTTAGCATGAGACATAGTTACACAGAGAAAGTTTTTTTTTTTGTTTTTTTTTAAACATGAATGGCGCCCACCAAAAAATGTTTATCTCTGAATGTTGGCTTATATATTTTCCAGATGGAAATATTTTAGTTTTCAAGTAACTGTCACCATTACTTTCAGTGCGCCTTTTCCATCCATGTCTTTCTTCAAGCTTTTGATTGGCTCATTTGACCCCAGTTAAAAAGTTACAGCGTCACTTGTTGCTTTGGCATGAGCTCGACAGTCTAAAAGTGGAGAGTTGATTTTACTTACGGGAGTAATTTTCAGCTTTTATGTGAACAAGCTAGCATCCTCGCGCGTTATAAGCAACTGAGCTGGCGGGAGCATCCAATAATAAATACAAGGTAATAAGAGGGCCTCTTCAGGGGTTCGGGGGTTAGGGTGTCTCACCGCGCAGCCAGAGAAAATATTTAATATGTGTGTCAAACACGTATTAAACGCTCCAAATACAACCCCTCTCTCCTTTCAAGTCGCATTCAACATCATGCAACAAGTCGTGCGTCAGTCAACGCTGAACTCCGTTGGAAAACCCGCTGAGTGAAACACTTTCTGCACTTCTCAAAGATTATGTCAACACATGCACGTATGAAATCGCGCGTGGGGAATAGAGCATAAAGTTGCCTAGGATTCGGCATCATCATGTCTTACCTGCATCCAGCATGCTGAGCAGCGCGCACACCAGCGCCTGGTAAATCCATACGTGCGTTCTCATGGTTCACTTGGCCGGGATGTGCGTGTGCGTGGGCAGCTTGTAGCGGAATGAAAGACACACACTTCGGGATGTTTCAATGTGACGTCCTGCGTGACCGACGTCCTCCCAAAAACTCGCTGGTAGCGTCCACGCGCGTCCTCAGTTCAACCCGCCCACTTCACGAGACTTTTTTTTTTTCGACCGCAGGCGCCTGGCTGGATCGGGCGTCAAGCGCACTGGAGTGCATGCTGGCAAAAGCCACGTCCGGTTCTGGCTTTCAAAATAAAACCAAGAGTCGGTTAACGAGGTGACAGGAAAAATACAGATGCTCAGTTCTCCTATTGTAAAAAAAATACGAAATAAGACAACTTAAATTGAGTTTTATGATCTAATGTATTTTTCTTTTCGGATGCTGTATATGCAATTTCTGAAAAAATGGTAACTATTCAAATTAAATTAAAGTGTCGACCAACATGAGAGTATAGATTTCAAACAATGCTTGAGATGGGATCCCACTAACATTTTCTTTGAAAGCTGATAGACACCAGGACTCCAATCAATGGACTAATACACTTTTAATTAACACACATGACAGCGCTTGATGGATTTCGGTTTTAAAAAAATAAAATAAAAGACTTCTTAGAATCTATGCTGCAGTTCAAGTCATGCATCCATATATAATGGATGGCTCTATGAAACCTCTTAGGTATTTTTCACTTTCACTTTGCTGATTTACAAGCCAGATAAACACACAAATTAATCCGCAAGTGCTCCTTGTTGACACACATTGCTAAAAGCGGGATCCAGATCTGAGTGCTCGGACTTCTTCAGGCAAGCGCCCGAGGCCAAAAAAAAAAAAAAAAAGATAATTGTAAGAGCAGGATCCCGCATGCATTCGTCCCGGTTGCCTCACTTTGGCTTCTGCGGAAAAACAGATGGGATTCTTGGAGGCCTGTGCCAAAGATCACTTGGCACGACACACCGAGATCCTCAGCCAGTTGTAAAACGCCTTCAGGTACCGAAGCACATAAGCAGGAAGTGCTCAAAAAACAAACGTTCACTTCCAATCAATCACGGGCGTACTAAAGTTTGGGGATTTTTACCCGGTGTTGAGCGATTAGAACGGCAATGTAAATAACCATCTGAAAGTATCGTAGGAACAAAGGGATGGTTGTGTCTGAAAATGTCACAAAAGGGGGGCGCACACACTCTTAAAGTGGACACCCTGGTGGGCTAATACGAGACAAGCAAAGCGTGTGTTAAGGCGAAGCAGGTGGAAGCGATCCAGTTCAGATACCGGCGGACGGGACTTTTGCTGGGCCCTCACCCGAACTTGACAGGAAATCCACACTCGAGCCGTTAATTGCCGGCAGTCTTAGGACCCTCCAGAGAGAGAGAGAGAGAGAGAGAGAGAGAGAGAGAGAGAGAGAGAGAGAGGGGCCGGGGCAGAGGGGAGAGAGAGAGAGAGAGAGAGAGACCAGCGTGGTGGAGGAACGGGTGGAGGTAAACGCCAGACGCCCTGGTAAGGGCTCATTAGGACGTGTGCGGGTCATTTCGGCTTTCGTGTGTTGGAAAGTATCAGCAGGTGTAGAGGCATTCTCACATCACACCTGTCTCAAGATGCCTCAAGATGAAATCCAGACTCCCCCCCCCCCCCAAAAAAAAAATTGACATGCAGCTACCCCCCTCCACGATCTCAGGTAGATATGTTGTCTTGATGCTTGATTACACATCCATTGGGGGGGTTATGGAGGCGGGAGGGATTCTTTCCAAACACACCAAAGCAAGGGGAGTATTAGCTTCCACCGATTGTGGTCCCGCTCAAAACCCGCCCCCCCACCTCGACTCCAAAACGTCAGTCAGTCCAAATGTACTTGGTAGGGTTAACCGCTAGGTTAACAAAGTCCGTTTGGCTAACAAACTCCCAGATGAGTTGGTGCTAATTTGCTGTCACCCTGAGCGACAATTTTCAAGATCCTTATCCTCGTTTTGGGCTGATTATTCCCAGTGAGAAGCAAAAACGGGGGACGCTGGGCAGTTGTGGGTTTGAGGGGCCAGGGGTGCCCAAGTCCGGTCCCCAGGAGCCCCTACGCAGCCTGTTTTAGATGTCTGCCCTCTTCCAACACACCCGATTCAATGATCATGATCGTTATCGGGCTTCTCAGATGATGAGCTGGGCCAGGACTCGGGCACCCCCCTCGCTTTACAGGTACAACCTGAGAAAGATTACCTGCGAGTCTGATAATCCGCAGCAACAATTAAAAGCCTTAACGGGACAAAAACAAAGAGTGTCACCCGTTGAGCGCTCCTTCAAAAGAGATCCATTTTCCTCAGAGGATCGACTCCCTCGCTGGGGAGTCCCCACATTTGACCCACGGTGTCACTCTTAATGGCACCGAAGCAGGATTTTACTCGTCTAATTATTTTACACCCCAGCTGGCCGGCAAGTAACCCTTCCCCCACACACCCCCCCCATACACACACTTGCCCCGTTGCCTTGTACTCTCACACATGAAGGAGGCTAATCACCGGTGTGATCTCCCCCTTTTCACCTCTGACCCGCTCAACACTAGAATAACAACCGCCACCCCTGCCGCCTCCCGCCCCCTCA